GAGTTGTATTATTGTTGTGGTTGGTGTAGTGTGTGGAGTGGCGGCTTCCTCGTGTGTATTGCAGCGGGGGCGGGGTGCTTCGCTGAGAGAAGGCGGTGGGGGGAGTGTGCCACCCGCTGAGGCTGAGCAGACGACAGATGGTTTTGTGTGGCTCCCCTGCTTGCTTTGCGGATGACTTGATTTTTAGCTTTCAGCGATGCCGCGTTGGGGAGCAGCGCGAGTGTTTTTTATTTTGAGTTCTTCCACGCCACACACACCCCCACTGCAACTGATGGTAATAATGACACCCTCCAATGCGGAAGGGAGTCGGGTGGTTGCGGGGCCCACCGAGCCAAACTGCGATTCCCCATTGTGCATCCTTCGCTTTTTAGGAGTGGGAGCCATATGGCCTCATCTGGAGGCATATTTTATTATTATTATTATTTTGTTTCATGACATTTTCCGTGAGTCTTTTGGGCGGTTCTTTGCGGCGGTGGGTGCCGTGGGGTTGATTGCCTTTTCGGGTGCTGGGAATTATTCTTTTCGTTGGGATTGGGCATGCAGCCGTGGCGCGGCGAGGGCGCATTTCACGGAGTGGTGAAGACGTCCCCCCGGTGGCAGAGGGGAGGTGTGGCGGCGAGGTGTGTTTCTCGGCGCACCGATGGGTGAGAGAAACTGGCAGATGAAATAAAATAACAGCCGGCAACGAACATGGGGAGGGAGGAAGGGAGTATGTGTATATATAATATATACACGTATTGGTGGAGCTTCCGGATTTCCGTTTGTCAAAGGAACTAGCGACGCGGCCTGTGGTCGCAATCATACGGGCAGGATCTCTCTGTCGGCAAGGCACTGCCCCAACACAAGTGGCTGTCTGCAGCAGGCTGGCACCGGCGACGGTTGTGTGCGCTGCACGCAGGACCGTAAATGGGGCACCCCACCGAGGCCGCTGTATTGCCGCAGCGCGAGTAGCACCCTGCGCATGTGGGTTGGGGGTACGGGGTGCTGTGGGTGTTGGCGGTGGAGGGCGGTTGGGCCGCAGGTTGCTGCGGCGGCGGTGGCACAATGAGGGAGTTCGGTGAGTGCACAGCGAGGTGTATTTAATAAAATGGGGAAACTTTCGTTGACGAGTTGTCGAGAGGGAAATTATTGGCGTCCGGCACGCTGTGAGTACGCCAAATAACATACGTGGAGGGTGTGTGACGCCGTCGCGCCCTGAATACTGCTCAGCGTAAAGAGGAGGAGAACACGGTGTATTTTTGGCACCGGAAGGTGCGTCAGTGCCTGTTGGCGACGTCGTATGGAGGCGTACGTGCCGTGCGTGGTGGTTGAAGCGGTTTCTTGTTTTTCCCTGAAACTCTTTGAGGTGCCTCACTTTCACGAGCACCGCGGTGCGGCTGGGAGGCGGGCGATTGCATTTGGGTTTGTCGGTAGCGGTGCCGCTGCGAGAGTTTGTTTTTGTGACCGCAGAGGGAAGGCATCTGCTGCGTGTGTCTTGTCGTGGTGGTGCTGCGTGCCCCGTTTATTTTGTATTGTTTTTATTGTTTTTTTCAATTTCATTTTTGACGTTGCGCCCCACTCCTCCTGCAGTGCGCTGAGGGAAGTGGCGGCGTTGGGGGTTTTGTGGGGGCCGTGATGGGAGGTCCCGCCGGCATGCGCACTGCGTGTTGCTGCTGGCAGGGTTTGAAGGGTCTGGGCGGGGTAGACGGTAAGCGAGGTGCTTATGAATTTGTTTTTTATTATTTTTGATTTCTGCGGGGCGTCACAAACTCCGGATGCTCCGTGCGGGTGCGTGTGGGTGTTTCTTCCGGCTGCGCACAACAGTCGCTG